CTGGCATTGTGTGTTTGCGTGTTAGAAAATACTCGTGCATTGCTTGAACAAGGCTTACACTGTTTTTCTTACAATGTCTGTACAATATCTGTACTTGCTTCTGATGAATGTAGGTGTTCAACGTGCTTCCATCTTCTGGGTGGAGCTATTGGGTGCGAAAGCTCTATAAAATCTGCTTTATAAACATTATCATGTAAAGTGTCCTTTTGAGGTTCAAAAGCACGTTCCATTTTTATTGAACACAGGTATTCTGTATTGCAATGCCTACCTCATCTGCTTTTCACTGAACTGATAAAACACACATTTGTTATCAAAGATGGGATTCCATTATGGATTTAAGTAAAGAGGTGCCCCCTCCAAAAAAAACCCTTACAAAGTAGACAAGTACATGTTTAGTTATTTATCAGTGTTTAGAGAACACTGCCAAGATACTCCGCAGAGGTAGGCTTTTAAAATTAAGCCTCCCAAAGCTATGCTTGTCACTCTCAGCCAGCCTCAGGTACAAGCCTGCAGCTTGGTGCCCATACAGCAAGGAGCAGAAGCAAACCTGACATGTTGAGTATTTTTCTTCCTGATTTTAATTAGAACACATTTTCAGCTTTGGGAATCTGTTCACACTTAAGTGGGTTTTGTTGCTCTCCAGCACTGACCAACACTGGATGAAGACACTAATGTTGCCATTAGGATGCTGCCGCCTCTATAATTCTGCTCACCAAAAGAACTGTTTATGTGTTTCTTAATCCATTTCAGGCAAAGCCACAAAAGTTAATTTACAAACGTTAATTTGAAGACTCCTTAAAATAAGTTCACATCTACATTAATGGATTTTTTAAAAATAATCCATGGACCTTCATGTAACTACAGACCAGAGGCTTGTGCACACCTTTTCTCAGGCACTACTGAGGGAAGACTTCAGGGAAGTGATGTCTTACCTGAAGGTGTCGTTTGCAGATCCAGATCAGTCAGCGATGGCCAAAAGCATCTGAAGAGAATCTTTTTAAGAAAGGAAGAGAAGAAGGGTGTAAAAGAACCTTTAGTTGCCGCCTTCTGGAAAGTTATTCCTGCCCAGGCTTGTGTTTTCAACAGGAACAGCTATTCAGTGGAAGGCCCATGTGAGCTTTATGTCCCTTGAGATTCCAGCCATGTGCTTTCTTAAACATTCAGAGGATGCTGAGATTTTAAGAGGAATATTAGAGTCTAAACACCATCTAACTGCCATGAAGATTCAATATTAACCTTTTCTAGCCAGCTTATGTGTTCCAGTATGCAATGTGTGACTAAGCACCTTTAATAATTGTAGGTGAAATTGTGTAAGCGATCATGTTTTGTAGGGCTTAACTGCAGCTCACAGTCCCTGCTTTGCCACAGATAAGAAAATCAGATTTGTGAAATAGGCTCGTTTAGCAAGAAAATAGGGTTGGCATGTTGGTATTACTTGATTACTCTCCATTTTAAGTGTATTTAGGGCTGGGCAAAGTTTTCCGCAGATTGGGAACAGCACACGGTAACGGTGGCACATGTTCAACTTGTCCTATTCAGCCTAAAATTTTTCAGTCCTGAAACAGGCAGATTGAATATGCAAATGTAAAATCCAGTCCTGAACAGAAAGCCACCAAAAGGTCTGGTGTGAGAATTAGCTGTTGGGTGAGGACTCAGGGGAGGAGGAACTGATCTGTCACACCGTATCAAGGTGTGTTTGAGACTACATTGTCACATTAGCTTGCTTATTCTCTGCATTGAAACGGGTGTCAGCACGGATGGAAGGAGCCTAAACAACACAGTAGGGACAGCAAAACTCAAGTCTGACCTAGCTTCCTCTGCAGCCAGTAGGAATTCTCTTTGCTATACTTGCACAGAAGAGACAAAGGTATATGGTTGTAACACCATTCCCATTTTGATCAATGAGAATTTTATGACCTTCTCTAAACCTAGATTATTGTGCCTACATGCATCATAAATAACTAATATGATATTTGGAAATGGAATGTTTTTCCATTCCACTGACCTCTGGACGAGAACAGGACCTGACGAAGCTGCCAAAAGATCAGGACTCTGTTTGAAATTCCCCTTTGACCAAGATTACCTGTCAGTGCTTTTGCTCAGCAGTGGAAGTGTGGAAGGTGCAGGTGAAACATCTGTGAACCTGACAGGAATAAATAATAGTCATCCTTTCAGCGCCCCAGCTGAGATGAAGAACAGTGATGGAACTCCTGGGGATGTATTTACAAGGGAAGACAAACTGGCTGATGAATAGCAGTGTCCTCTGCTCACTTTTCTGCTAAGGCAGTTTGTGTTCTGGAAGGTAAAGTACTTGTAACAATAAGTTAAAAATTTTCCAATTAAATTTTTAAAACTCATGGTTTTGGGATATACTTTAATATTCCATTATTTGTTTCATAGTTACAGAACACCCACCTGCTGCTAAGGACACCAAGTGGGTGCTTTCTAACAAAGGCCTCATGGCTCAGCGCAAGCACTAAAGCACTAAAGCACTGCTCACAGAAACAACAGCTCCAAGCTGCCCCATTCTGTGGAAATCAGGTGTTTCAGATGAATGAAATGAAACATAATGAAATGCACTATGGTAGCTGTAGGAAGCAGGTAGATAATATGGGTTTTAAAATCTATTTGTCAGTGATTTTCAAGACAGCTGGACCAAAAAGTGCATCTGAAAATTTAGTAGGCACCTCCTTGTCTGTTAACATGGCTAAATGTAAATACCTTAGAATATACGTCCCCCCGTCAATTGAGAAGCACGGGGGAAAAAAAACCCTGATCGTTTTTAATATCTGACTCATCCTTTAAAGATTTCTTCAAATGACAGTACGTAGGAGGGTAACAAGTAATGGAGAAGAGCAATGCATTGGTACTCGAGCAAGACAAAACTGATCCTACCTAGCTAAAGGAAGATACCCAGTAGGTGTCTTAAATACAGGTTCCCCATTCGAGGTAATCCAAGAATAAAGGCATGAGTATAATAAATAAGGAAGGCAGTCCAGAGCAGAGGATTTCAGGGATGTCCAGAAACCTCCACTATTTTAGATCACATGCTTAGCCTACGAAGCTCAACCAAAATGCATTTTTCTTTGTCTTTCTTCTTTTTCCAGTGTTGTTTTACTGTTTCTTTCTAAAATTAGTTAAAGTCACATGCTGGGTAAGCAGCAGTTATTAGATCCTTATCACAAAGATTGTCCATAACCATGAGGAAAGAACAAGTGACCATCCACCCTCTCACAATCTTCCACTTCTGAGTCTTCTCATGCTGATCCCTTGTTAGAAATGTCTCAGGGGAGGGGAAAATGTGTAATTTTCCCTTTATAGGAGGGAGAATCAATGGCACTAGCGATAGCAAGTATGTAATTTACTGCTGCCTATTGAAAGGTTGTCAGAGAATCATTAACCTTGGTAGGTAAGTAGATGGGGAACAAAGGAACAAGTGTTTCTGTGTCACACCTCCTTGGTGGCTTGTGACCCATTAGATGAGGCACCAATCTAGAGAGATATATCAGAAACATTAGCTGGGGATTAGAGATAAAACACAGGGGTAAATTCATGCCAATCGCGAACAGGTATGAGGGCAGCATGTTTCCACTGGATTTCCAGACAGCTTGATCCATTGCTCTGAGAACCAGGTATTGCACTGTCTCAAAGGGGTTTTTAACACTCTTTTTAGTGGCAAAGATATAGATGTTAGTGACAACACAGCTCAACTTGATCTGAATTTATCCCAGAATCTCGGTCTGTCTGAAAACAGTGGTCCTCAGCCATCCTCTGCAGACACTCAGGTTTTTCTCAGTGGCAGTATGCATTCAGGGTTCTCAATGCCCAAACCTACAATAAATGGAGACTTGATGACTGAAAACTTAATTGCCTGATTTTAATGCCAAAAGGAGCAACATTGCACTCTGGAGATGATTAGTCCAGTCGTTTTCCATATAAGCTCATTAAATTTCTGTGTTTGAAGTTACCTGAAGCCACAGTGGCATTTCGGAAGTGGAAGCACTATGGAAAACTGTATCTGGATCATGCTTTTATGACAAGACAGTAGCCTTGAATAGCCTTGAAAACAGTTCTAATTTATGAAATTTGTTATAATCTAAGAATAGGAAATACAGTTTTTTTCTCCTGGATCTGCAGAAAGCACCATGGAATTACTGTGGTACTAGCTGTGAATTATTGTCACATTAAGCTAGTTTCATGCCATGACTTTAAGTTAGTTTCATGAATTGGTCCTTTGTTATTTAGGAGGCCGGCATGGGAAGCACTGGGGCTGCCATGCTCACCTGTATTTTACTGTGGCAGTTTGGAAGTCAGCACTCCAGCCAGCCATAAAGGGTGGCAATTTCCATGCTTACAAACCTAATTTTTCATCAGAACTGTCTAGATCTAGACTCAAGTATCAGTCCCAGCTCTAGACAAGGTCGCCAAAAAGCCAGCAGCAATCAGCTGTTCTGATGTGGTTAGATCAGTGCACATGTATTTATGGCATAAAGAGATAATAAAAGTACATATTGAGACAAGAGAGCTTTGAAATGGCTGTGGCCTTCACCCTGTGTGAAGTATATTTCCTGTGGGACAGCAATATGAAAAAAGGTTGAGACAGTTGAGACAGATAAAACAAGCTGGTTTATGGCAGCACAGATGGAAGTTGCTAGTTTTATTGTAACTGGACAAGATAGGCATTTGGTCCAGAATGGTTCACCATTCCCTTTTTCTCTCTGCTACTCATAAGTAACCCCCTCCTGAACCCTTTGTTTCTGTGGCACAGAAAGCTTCTGAGAGATGTGCAGCCCTTGCTGGAGAACTGACCTTTCTAAGGCACCACCTGCTGCTTCACAAACTATTCCAGCATGGGCGTACTTCACCTAAAGCAGCAATGCCAGCAAGCACCAACGTGACAGAGAGCAAGAGAAGCCAGAGAAGCTACTGAAAGATGCCAGGAGGGGAGAGGGCAGCTGAGCTCAGACTGTAGGATACCCCTGCAGTGAGTCCAGTGGTGCTGTACCCAGTTGGGCAAGCTCTTTAAAGGCTGGCCAGGCCGGTCATTCCCAGTGCTGGAACTGCTGCGTGTGGAGGCAGGCTGGCTGGATGTGCCAGCACTTCCGACAGGATGCAACAAGGGACCAAACTTTGCAGCATCTGTGGATGCCACCAAGAGCAAAACCAAGCTACAGAGTGTGAATGCAATCCCTGCTGGATTTCTGCAAGGAGCAGCTGCTGACTCCCACACAAGACTTGGCACCGTGGGACTCAAACGTACATGGAGTGCAGTCAGACTGTGCAGGCTGCAAGCCAACACCGCGTCTAGAGGAACTGCACGGCCTATTTCAGAAACACATCTCTTGGAGTTTGAAACTCCTTAGTCTCCCGCAGAACAAAGAGGTCTCAGAAAGCATGATGGTCAGGAATGTCTCCTTCAAACACTGCATTTGTCTGGTGTCTTAGTCAGCAACTTGGAGATGAAAATGCAGTGCACAGTTCGGAAGAACGGGCTTTAGCAAAGTTCTCATAGGTCCATTTAAAAGTGTGCGAACTCCATGGCATGCATGCAGGAAAGGCTAAGCATGGAGAAGGAGAGTGGAAACTTGTTTTTGGGTAAAGAATCAAGGCTTTCACCAGGCTTTTGAGAAGAACTGGACAATGAGCAGATGTGATCTGTGTGGTGTATGCAGCCAGCATGAAAGCTTCTTCTGTCACTACTGCAAAGGCAGAAGACACCTCTCCTTCCTCAAGTAATGCCCTGCCTGGCACTCACTGCACGGGATGAACATGAAACTCATTGTGCAGAAAACCCTGGTGCTACATTATGCTTTCCACAAAACACACTCAAGTATTACTGGCTACAAACTTCATTCCTCTTTGCTGAAGTGCAGCTCTGTCTTCCTCAGCATAGGAGAATAAATTGGTCTTGCTTTTGTTGAAGTCCAGTCGCAAAAATAACTTGGAACAGCCTGGGCAATCTCTGGCCAAAACAGAATCGTTGGGGTGTTAGAGAAAAAAATGCCTTCAATGAAAGCAAGTTCTTGTACAACAAAACCAGTGCCCCGATAAAACACGTGTTGCCCAAAGCTCATCATAAAACCAGAACTAATTCAAGCCTGCAAGTACAAATGCAAACAAATACCAGCTACTGCCACCTGAAAGCTTTTAGGTCATCAAAACATTGCATACCCTGGCCCTTTAGATGACAAATTAACCAGTCAGTGCTATTCATGTCATTAATGGTATGATACCAAAGTTATTCTACTAGGTTTCTTTTGAAGGGTATTAAATGTTGAAATAGTTGCTAAATATCTTTTGAAACTGTTCTGTATATCAAAGGTATAATTTCACTTTAAAACATGAGTACTTAGGGGAAGGAGCTTAAGCTCCCTTATTTGGTTCACAAACTTTGCTCCAGCCGATGGAACCTAAAGAACCTCCTCACATGAATCTCATATGTGGAAACACAGTGAATAATTGGGTTTATGGAAGTTGCTCCTCTGCATTGGAATGCTTGGAACATGAAATAGAACGAATTTTATTTTATATTGGACCATTTTTTGGTGCCAGTTTAGATTCTGAAATAATTCTTTGTATCTTAATCAAAACTAATGTATTTTGTCTGCTCCACAGGTTGATGCAGAAGGAACACAGGAGGAGGTTTTTCTGGACATCTGCAAGACCATTGACTCTTTTCTGAACAAGGAAGAGGCGGCGTTTTGTTATCCCACAGAAGCACAGTAACGGTGTGTTCGCAGCCTCACTCACAGGCACTTGACAGTCGTGACTAAAATGCTGTTTAAAGCAATACTGCTTTCTCGAGAGGTTGTCTGGATTTGTGCATGTGGTATGTTCTTTTAGGTGAAATCTTTTCTCCTCTGTTCTGACAGCACACTCAATGGAGTGGTCTGTGTGCTAACTCTAAGAACCGTATCTTGTTTTATTGGTCGTTTGCTCTTCACGGGTTAAAGGCAGCATGAACAGCAGCTCTGGTTTGTATCTCATTCATTTGATTGGAAATCAGACAGTGCCTGGCCACAGCGAGCTCCTCAATCACCTCACTCACCATTTAGCATATTAAGGTTGCTGCAACAGTATTAATTTTTGTGGTGTCACTTAGCTTGTTTTTGGGCTTCAGAGACTAAACTCTGTTCTCTGTTACACACAGCTGCGAGACAGCTGGAATCAGTCAACCTGGAAGTTAAAATAAACTATTCACATGCCCCCAGAACACTGTATTACAACAAGAAGCAGATAAATTAACTGAAGGTGAAGACACTATTAAATATTGTGGAAGCCTGTCAATCCATTACCATGGAGCAGACACCATTTCTGGGACAACTTGTCTTGTGCTGGGAATTGTAAGGTATTATAAATGGCAACTTCCCAGTTTTGTGAGCTGAGGTGAAAATGATGATTGTATTGTGTAGTTAAATGTGCAATCCAGTAATTACCCACATCAACAGCAGTTTTACTGTATTAAGTCTACATAAAAAGTTGACTATCAGCCAGAATGTATGAAGGTTCCTCTACATCTTACATGGGAAGTATTTCAAATGCAAAATTCAGATCATCATCTGTTGTCTTGTACTGGCATCGCCAAAACGGGGGGGAGGAGAGGGTATGAAAAGATAACAGAATAGGAAACCATCATGGCTGATTTGTTTCATTTTGCTTGCACCTTTAGTAAGCCATTTATCTGTAATATTTGCAAAGAAGTCTGTAATAGTCACATCGTATTTCCATTTGGTTAACCAAAGTATCGTGGTTTCTTTGCTATACTGATAGCTAAATAAAAGCTTGTTTGACATTCCTGTGAAGTAACTGCATCCTCTTACTGGACCTACTGGATGAACTCACAGCTGAAGTGGGCTGCATGACTGCTCTTACTGTCAATGTTGTACTTTATGCGGCAGATTTGTATTTTTGAAGTTACCTTTCTTGTAATGAAGACAATACAAATAAAACATGTACAAAAAGGAGGAGTAATGATTTGTTACAGTATACGTGGGTTTAATCCTTTTCAAAGCACAGTACATGACTTGAAAATAGCGCTCAAATCGGCATGCTTACAGAGTATGTCCTTTTTCCATTCAGGGCACATTCTTCTGGTTCCTTTCTCTTCCTTGGCATTTGCCCTGTAAATGCTAATTCAATTATTTGTGAGGGACTGACTTCATATCCTGGATGTTCCTTCTTTCCTGGGTCCTTTTATAGCCTATATTTTACCACTGATGCTCTAGAAGTGCTTCTCCAGCTCCACCAGTGCCATCAAGTGACCTGTAATGCCTGCAGTACAACAGCTTTAAGGAAGAGAATTTGAGGATGCATCAGCTGAAGAAGGCTGGTGTTTCTAAACCAAGCCTTGAAGCACCACCAGCTGCATGATGCACTGTTGCAGTATTTTGCCAAAAAAATAAAGTAAAATACTCTGTCTCAGAAACCAGGAAAACACTCTGGAGTTACCATGAAGTTGCAAATTCATCTGTGTAGGTGTTCTGGAGTATTTTTTATTACTTGTAATTACAATGTAAGTTAAAAAGTGTGGAGTACCATACTTGTGTGGGAGGGAGCACAGGCAGCATCAGTTGCTAATCCTCTTTTTTTTTTAAAAAAAAAAATCAAATTACAAAACATACAGTTTCAGTTTTAGTTTTTCTTTCTGCTTCTTCTGGTCTTTTCTATGGAAAAAACAAAAATTCCCATGCTTGATTGGGTGTATGTGCATTAGGTATTAGGTCTATTTGCGTATGTTCACTATGTATGCAAGAGAAATAGCTGTATATGCATGCATATGGAAATACAAATATTTATACATAGTCAATAAAAAGAGGACTTATTCAAGACACTTCTTTACTTGGGTGATTCAGACTTGAAATTCTCCTTCTGCTTCCAAACTCATTCGAATTACACCATGGCTTGTCCTTCTTCCCAAGCTATTCTAAATTGATGACTGAACATTTTCACTAATGCACTTTCATTGTTCTCATCCAACCATTTTTTCAAGGTATCAACAGAAAACAAGCATTTCCACAGATTCTCTCCTTGATAAAAACCGTCCCCAACTCTAGCCTCCTATGAACAGCATGAACGGTGTGGAAAGCACATGCTTTAGGTACTAGAGAGCCTCTCAGAGCAGGATCTTTTCCAACTGAAAACTAAAATACATCCTGTGAATTTCTGTGTTGTATTTTTTAAGGTTTACTAAATTTATCTAAACATATTAGATACGTGAGATATGTTTACATATGATACCTGCTCAGTGTCTTAGCGACTGTACTGTATTACCTTCTAAACAGATTAAATGCTTTGAATTATTTAAGCAAAAAATAACTACACCTAAAGGTATTGCAAAACTTAATTCTGATCAATTTATATTCAAAGTATTTAGATGCAGCCGGCCAATTATCCTTCTTATTGCCATCTCTTTAAGTCAAATTAGTTTATTCTCTAGCTCATTACTCTGAGTATTCAAGTTTCAAAGCAACTGGAAGTCTCTTACAGTTATAAAATAATCAAGTGTTTCTGAATCACAAGCTATACAGTTCCATAGAAAATATATTAACTAAAATATGTCACAATAATTACAAAGCTTCTCAGACAATGGCATACAGCGTCCCGAGGCCACTGAAATCTGGGGTTTCTGCCATCTGTAAAAGAACAGTCTGCGCGTAAGGTACGAGTAAAACTAGAACGCTAACGCTGCAAAGGCGAGGCGGGTGTTAGTAGGCGCTGAGCACCACCAGCTCCCAGCGAAATGAACAGCAGACGAGGGCACTGGGCATCTCGCAGGGCTGCACAGTGACTGTTTGGATGATGTATTAAAATGTCCTTTGAATGTTTTCCATCTTGATTAAAAAGTCGGAACTACACGGAAAGGAAGTCACAGCAAGCATTCTATATATAAACAGACTGTATCCACATAGTTTATTTCTCACAGTTCTCCTGACAATTGAACATTATTTAAGAACATACTGTATACACAGATAAGAAGAAACATACAAAATGTTTTAAATGATGCACAACAAAATCCAGCAGTATAAAAGAATGCATGTGAACCCTTGCTCACTGCTCAGGCTAAATTTAATCACTGTTTAAATAGTAATAAAAATACAATCTTTCATGGATCTTGTGCAGACTACAAAAGAGGAAAAATTATTACCATATATATGATTTATATTAGGCAGTTTTCTTTGATGAGTTGCACTAACAACTCCAAATACAGAGGCAGAAGGCTGTGTATTTTATTTTAAAGGAGTTAATGTTGAGTATTAGAGACTTTACACAGTTACTACCACTGGCACTTTTCACCATATTTTGTACACATCACATGATCATCTTATATAACATTACATTTAAAAAATATATCTGAGTGACAATTTTATAACATTCACACACCATGAGCTGGTTAAGGAAGCAATGCCACAGTTGCCCCCTGTAGTGCTTCACTGTTGGTAAATAGAGTTTGTTGTGGTTTAAAAAAAATAAAATAAAAAAACCCAACCAAAATTAAAAGAAACTGGAAGTTGATGTGATTAAGCAGCTCCAATTTAATAAAGGCCTGTAACCAACCACCGCCGAGACAGTGAGCAGTTTTTAGAGTACATCCTAGAAGCAAACACTGTCATTGGTTAAAACCTTGCCTAAAGAAGTCAGTTACTGTGCTGAAAACTATTTCACAACAAAACTGCAAGCTACTAAACTGTTTTTATATAAATACTTCATCTCCTCTGGATCTCATTATAACCAAGTTCTTCAAAGCCTTTGGAATTTACTCTATCTTTAATGTGTGCTCTCATTTCTGGCTCACCCTTTTGTATGTTTTTCTTTTGTGTTTAGATTCACCACCTAAAAATGACTAACGTGGTGAAAGAAAACTCTCCCAGTGAAACCTTCTGCACACTAGGAATGTTCAGCTGCTGTTCAGTGATCTAGAACCATGACAGCTCAAAGCTGTAGTTTGACAAGTACACCCAGGAAGCTGTCATGCTGTGAGCGACATTTCAGGGAAAGCAGAGTCTTTCCAAAATGTGCACAGAACTAACAATGGTGCCATTGTTATTTTTCAAAGAGGATAGTAAGCCCAAGATGGTAGATCTGCTTCCCATGTCATCTATTTGCTGGAAAGTAGTTTGGGTCAAGATAATTGTAACTGGTGCCCTGGGACATGCAGTAGTCTCTGTCTAAAAATGTCTCTGCTCTGTAAATAGGTTCTAACTGATGATCTTCCTTATGAATCTCTGTTTCATGCAGACTGCAAGGGAAAGAAAAAGATAACAGTTTAAAAGTCAATAATTTTCCTTATCTTTAACTTTCAGAAACAGTGATAACATTAACAGATTCATACCAAATTTGATTACAATTAATTCATAAAGTGTAATTTCCCCTGCTATTCAACAGTCTCAAACCTGTCCGCTGTATTAAGAAAGAAAAATTTATACATCCAGAATATGTTACAAAATGTGTCTCCCACAAATATGGGCAAAAGCATCTTCCACTTTACCCAACACACGATATGTGTCTATGCTGGAGCAAAGATTTCCAACATACATAGCAATTAAGCCACATAAAAAGATTCAAGTTAATTACAAACAAGTAAGAAGCATTTGCTGCTCACCAGTCAGAACAAGAATCACAGAAATCCAAGGACATTTCTTGAGGGCAGTCTTGGCAGTGCCACCGAACACCCTGGATAGGTTCAATTCCGCAGTTATCGCACTGTGAAGCAAATGGAAGAGCACTGA